ATGGAAATAAAGTCTTTATAAACAGGGAAGGGTGCAGGGGGTGAAGGGAGGGCTAGGAATGGGGAAACAATAAGAACCAAGATTCATTATGTAAAGGTACAATTCCCAATGAGAAATGTAATTGTGTTGTATACCTAAAATGTACCAATAAAAGAATTTAACAACAAAAAAAGAAAAACCACTACAACAACAAACACTAAAGTACAGTGGACCCTCAAATTATGACCAGCCTGACATACAAACAACTTGGGCTAATTAGGTTAATGGAAGATTCATTTGCCTCTTATTATCTATAGTGTGTGCCCAGGTAAACATCCAGATCTCAGCTGTACTGACTTACAACCAACCCTCCTTTGGGAACCGATCAAGTTCGTAAGTCAAGGGTCCACTGCAGAAAAGCAAGCCAGTCAGTCAATAATATTTATCAAATATTAGTAACTACAATTCCAGTTACCATGAGGACTGTAAGGAAATAAAAATAGTAACAGTTAACATACAGTACCTACTAAATATTCTAGGGAACATTTTAGTTACTCAAATTCATTGTGCTCTTCACAGTAAAATTAAGAGGAAGGCATAATTATCTTCTCCATCTTAATGACTAGCATCCTAAAATTAAGTAACTTGTTCAAGGTTACACTGTAAGTAACTGATGGGGGAGGAGGTCTAATGTAGTCATTATCTTATCCAGCCACTAACTGTATTATACTGCCCATTTACAGAAAGATGACATAATGGTGAAGATGCTGAAATTTTGTTTTAAACATTAAGATCCTATTCTACTTAAAGTACTTTAATATATTCACACAAGTACATAGACACAGCAAAGATGAAAGCAAAACTTTATAAATACCTGGTGTTCCAATGGCTCTTACATATGAAAATATCATATTGGCTTTTCCTTTCACAGTATTTTCTATGTTCTGAAGGTCTTCCAGGGTGGAGATATATTTTACTTCATTAAAAAGAAGAGTACTAAAATAAATACATATATATATAAATATAAATACATATAAAATTCATAGAAAATCTGACATGTACTAATTACATCATACATATATATTTTTGTTAAAGTACTTTATTTTAAAAAAATAAATTCAGCCTGGCATGGTGGGATACACGTACAACTCCAGCACTCTGGGAAGCTAAGGCAGAAGGATCATAAGTTGTATCCCAGTGTGGACAATTTAGCAACTTAGTGAGACCCTGTCTCAAAATAAATAATAAAATGTAATTATAAATTATAAATGTATTTTACTTTTAAGAAATGAAGCCCAGGGCAAAAGCTCTGTGTTCAATACGCAGTACTGCAAAAAGAAGAGAAAAATTTAACTCCTTTGAACAAATTATCAGTGTTAAGAACCTAAGCATTTTAAGGGATGGGAATGTAGCTCAGTGGTAGAGCACTTTCCTGGCACGCACGAGGCCCTGGGTTCAGGCCCAGTACCTCAATACACACATGTGCGTACAAACACACACACACACACACACACACACACACACAATAACAGAACCTAGGAATTAAAATCAGTCTCTAAGGTCATTAACTGCCATGTCCCAGCTCTGAGAAATAGTGCTCATTTTCCATCACAACCACCTCAACAGACATAACCTGTACGTATTCACTACCATACCAGTCTGACCAAGTAACCCCTTCCAGATCTCAGCCTTGAACACACTGGGCCCCCTCATGTGCCACAACTGCAGGCTTCCTTCCATGGCCTGTAAGGCCCTGCATGACCCAGACACTGTCTACCTCTCCAACCTCATTCACATCCACCACGCTCCAGGCACACCTCAGGGCATCTGCACACATAGCCCTCTTTGCTCGAAGCTACTCCTTTTGCTCCATGTTGGACATCTGTTCTCTTAAACATCGTCACCTCAGAGAAGCCTTTCCTGTTGGTCCCATGTTAAGTAAGCCTGAAGCATCTCATCTCATTTCACTATTTGATTCCTTCTCAGTACTTATCACAAGTTATAATTATTTATATATCCATTTACTTGTTTATCACTGGCTCTCTCATTAAACCACTATCTCCTTAAGGGAAGGACCTTGCGTATTTTATCACTGTAGTGGTAATAATTTGCAATAGAACCAATACATAGTAGTAATCAATAAAAACACTTACTGGGCCAGGGATTTAGCTCAGTGGTTGCATCTCCTGCCTTGCAACTGCAAGGTCCCAAGTTCGATCCCCGGTACCAAAAAAAATAAAAATAAAAATAAAAATACTTACTGAATGAACAAAAGAAAAAGTAAGCCAGGAATTATTTACTCCCATTTTTCATTTGAAGAAATGCAGGTTCAAAACACTGATGAGGTTTCAATACATTTATTAAATCAAGTTGCCAGGGACAGAAGACAAAACAGGTGTTCTCACTCTTGAGTTATCTTTCCACTTGGCAATAATTCTTCCATATCATCTTTCCATCTTTTCTTAAGTGATCACATTTCTTTATCCAAAATTATTCCCTATTTCTAGCCTACTTCTAAATAAATTCTCTGTCCTTAGCAATTCAGTCCTCTTAATCAAAAGTATTTTTTAGTCTAAACTTTAAGGAAGTTGTTCTAGGTCCACATACTTAACCTGCCCTAGATCATACTGCTGAGATTCAATCAAATCCAGGCTTCTGATACTACACCAGCACTTTCTAAATTATGTCTGTACCAGACCAGGGAATTAGCTCAGTGGTGCCGCCGCCTGCTTCACAAGGTGCAAGGTTCCAAGTTCGATCCCAAGAGACAGAGAGAGAGAGAGAGAGAGAGAGAGAGAGAGAGAGAGAGAGAGAGAAAGACAGTCAGAGAGGCAGAGACAGAGA